ATATATATATATATACACATATACACACACATACACATATATATGGCTAAGTGACTGACCATCCATCTGTCCAACCGACTGACCAGCCTGTACATATGATGCGCACTAGCAATTTAAAAATAAATGCAGAAGGGGAGGTTGTTCTGATTCCAAAAACTGATTTATCCCTGTCTGGCACTGGCCTCCCATTTAAATTAATTCGAAGACAGTTTCCCATGATGCCAGCATTTGCAATGACTATTAATAAATCATAAGGACAAACTCAAGACAGAGTAGGAATATTCCTATCTTAACCCGTTTTCAGATATGGTCAGTTATATGTTGCTTTCTCTCAAGTTCAAAGAGGGTGTGATGTTAAAGTTCTAATTACTTTATCACAAGGGAAATTAGTCAAGCACTCTAAAAGTGTTTTAACTCTTAATGTGGTATACAGGGAGATATTAGAATAAGTTTAATCAATTTATCAGTCATTGTTTTTATCAATGTTGTTTTTATATCATGTTTTTGTTGTTTTTATATCATGTCTTTGTTGTTACATCATGTTATTGTTTATTTATTAATCAATTTATATATTATTTTCATATGCATTTTACTAATTTTCTTTCATCTCTGAAACTTCTATTATAGAGAAAAGGCAAATAGTGATATTAAAATATTTCTTCTAATTAATTTCCTTTCAATGTGCACGAATCCATGCACTTGGCTACTAGGGACATTAAACTTCCCTGACTTGGGGAAGAACAAAGTCACAAAAGCATGGAGAGTCCCAAACAAGATGAACACAAAAAGACCCACACCAAGACATGTTGTAATTACATGGAAAATGTTAACGACTTAGAAAGAATCTTAAGGCTGCAAGAGGGATACAGAAAGTTACCTACAAGGGACCTCCCATTAGACTATCAAACGATTTCTCAACAGAAACATATCAGGCCAAAAGGGAATGGAATGAAGTACTGAAAGTAATGAAAAGCAAGGAACTGGATCTAGGAATACTCTATGCAGCAAGGCTATCATTCAAAATTGAAGGTGAAATAAGGAACTTCACAGACAAAAACAGGCTAAGGAAGTTTATTATTACCACCAAACCAGCAATGCAAGAAATCCTAAAGGGACTGGTATAAGAAGAAGGAATAGAAAGAGAGGAAGAAACACAAACATTAAGAATAAAAATGGCAACAAATAAGTACCTATCAATGTAATAACCTTAAACATATATAAATTAAATGCTCCAATCAAAAGACATAGAGTGGCTGAACGGATAAGAAAACATGATCCATATATACGCTGTCTACAAGAGACCTACCTTTAGAACAAGGACTCACACAGACGGAAAGTGAAAGAATAGAAAAAGTTTTTCAGGCAAATGGAAATAAAAAAAAACCCAAAACCCCCCAAAAAACCTGGG